AAGTCATAGTATAGTATGTCAAAATAAGTCATAAAAAAGTCAGAGTATAGTATGTCAAAATAAGTCATAAAAAGTCATCATATAGTATGATGCAAAAAGTCATAGAACAGCCATAGTATAGTATGTCAATACTAGTAACAAAAAAATCATAAATAAGTCAAAGTATAGTATGTCAAAATAAGGCATAAAAAAGTCATAGTATGTCAAAATAAGGAATAAAAAAGTCATAGTATAGTATGTCAAAATAAGTCATAAAAAAGTCATTGTATAGTATGTCAAAATAAGTCATAAATAAGTCATAGTATAGTATGTCAAAAAAAGTCATAAATAAGTCATAGTATAGTATGTCAAAATAAGTCATAAATAAGTCATAGTATAGTATGTAAAAATAAGTCATAAATAAGTCATAGTATAGTATGTCAATACTAGTCACAAAAAAAGTCATAAATAAGTCGTAGTATAGCATGTCAAAATAAGTCATGAAGAAGTCATAGTATAACATGTTGAAAAAGTCACAAAAAACATCATAGTATGTTGAAAAAAGTAATAAAAAAAGTCATAGTACAGATGTCGAAAAATTAAAATATTTTGTCGTCAAATGTCACAAAAAAATCATACCGTATGTACATTGAATAAAGTAAAAAGTCATAATGATATATGTCAGAAAAAAATAATTGTTTAGTTTGTAAAAAAAGTCATAAACAATCATAGTATAGTACATAAAATAAATCACAAAGGTCATAATACATTAAACAAAGTCATAGTACAGTATGTCGAAAGACGTTTTTCAAAATAAGTCATCGTATAGTATGACAAAAAAGCCACACAAAAAACATAGTATAGTGAAGCCTACATCACATTTTAGATATATTTGTTCAGCTTTAATATGACGAGGGTAAAAACACAGCAACTTAAGATTTACAAAACATTTAAATCAATAGACATATACAATCTGATCCAGTTTAAGTTACCCGTCTCTCTGGAACTGACAACGCAGAGTTTCCCTCATCTCAGGGTTAACTCACTCAGAGCTTTCACTGAACTTACTTACTGAAACAGGGCCCAGGAAACAGGACAGCAGAACCTCAAAAAGTTTCAGCTTTACAAATTACATACAAATTGAATTAACTGTACTAGATTTCATTCCAAATGTTCTTGTGGAAAGAACTTCCATCCTCAAAACTTTGGAGTAAGAGGACGCTTTATAGAAAGTAACTTAATTACACAATTAAGCCAAAAAAAATCATATTTTTGAATAGTTTTTCAAGATATTCTATCGTCCTGGTTTTATCATTTTCTCATTCATACAAAGTCTTACAAGAGAAGCTACAAAAAAACAGACACACAATTGATTTTTATAACTTTTATTAAATCTACACCGGATCCCAACAGAAGGGCACCGGTGCACTCAAGAAAGAAATATATTTGAATTTGAATTTAATAGGAGTTCAGTTGAAAAAGATATGTTTCGACTTTGACATCATACAACGCTCGGATGAACTTTAATCTCTCAGAGTTAAACCCTCAGTGCAAAACATCAGACATTTCTGCTTCAACAAGATAAACACATGTAGGAGTCAACTTAAAGTCCTCGAAAGCATTGCTGTAAGAAACATTATGTATAAATTAAAGGTTAAATTAGAAGTTGAGCTTTGTCGAGCCTGCTGGATATATTCACTTATTTGATTGTGTTCACTTTTCGATTCATTTTGGACCAGTCTAGCAGCTGCAGTGAGTTTTGTAGTGAGGGGGGTTATGGAACAGAGTGACCCCCACGAGTACATTCAAAAAGAAGGAGACGATGTGATGAAGTGAGTGAACAAACTCAGTCTACTGAGACTACTACTACTACTTCTGTTACTGCAACATCTCATACAACAACTTCTACAACATTAAATACTACTTCAACGACAACTTCATCTATGTCTACCACAGCTACTATAAGAACTACTACAACAAGCTTGACTGAGTGCCAATTCAAGGAGCCAGAATAATGTTTGGGGGTTGCCTGACATTTATTAAATACTACAACACGTTGTTGTTTTTGCTTAGGAAATCTTTTTTTAGACATTTTTATAGCATGCTATACTATGACTTATTTGGGACAATTGTCATGGTATTTTTTGTGACAAACTACATTATGTATTTATTTTTATGACATTGTTTTATGGCATTATTGTGGCACACAATGGCATATACGATACTATGACGTTTTATGAGAACTGTACCGATGACGTGTTTTTTGGCATTCCATACCAGGACATTTCATGTTTTTTTAAATACTTATTGTACATTTGGCCTTTTTATTATTTATTTTTTTGAAGAAATATACTGTGATATTTTTGTGGCATAATATATTATGACATGTTCAATGTCAATACAATTGTATTTCCGTTTTTTGGTGACATGCTATATCATTATTTATTTCAATACACTAAACAAGACTCAATTTGACATGTTATTTTTATTGCACACCATACTATCTTTATTATTATTTTATGTCAAACCATACTATGACATTTTTATGACATTCCATGGCATTTTTCATGGCATACTACAGTATTTTTTTTTATGGCATACAAGAAGTATTATCAGTACGGTATTATTCTTTTAGTTTCCAGTCGTATACAGACGGCAGTGTATTTATGGTCCATCTCTCATCACCTTGATGTCATCGTCTCCATCCAGTCTGCTGCTCCTCCCCCAACACATCGTGTTTTTGTCTCTGAGAACCAACAAAGAAGACAAAAGAAGATATTATTTCATCTTTAGGTATTCTGAAGTTCTGGACATAAGAAACAATGATATTCTGGGGAAGTGAAAATCACACTGAATGATGGATGAATGTCTATTACAGACCATTTCACAGCTGTAAACGTAAACGTTCCAAATGTTTTCCCACTTTATTTCCTGTCACAGATGAAGACATATTGTCTCAGTTGGTATAATGTTCCTCTTCTTCCCAGATGTCGTGGATTGAGGCCGCATATCTAAAAAAATAAAATCAACTGTCTTGAAATGCAACACAACTGACTAACTGAGCAAATATCACACACACACGCACACCACTTGCTTCCAACTATGTTCCTGCCAGATGTGGTGGGATGATTGAATCACTCAGCCGTATATCTAAAATTGATTGGTCACAATGTGGTCCCTCGAGTGGGAGAAGATGTTATTGGAGAGGAGTGGATACGAGTGACTTTAGTTTTCCAGGAAGCAAGAGAGTCTTTGTGAGTTTTTTGGCATTGACACACGCTCAGACGTCTCCAATATGCTGTAATTTACACACAGCTGGCACAGCGTCGGTACACTCAGTTGTTATTTATGTCTACCAACATAGTATATTGTATGTAATAGGGTCCGGATTTATTCCAGTGATCACAGTGCTATAATACAATTTGTTACAGACTAAACATGGTTAATTAGCCACTGAAGAAACTATCAATATTCATCAACAAATCTTTAAATCACTGAGTAAACTGATATGCCATTACTAACATGCCATTACTAACATATTTCTGCCACTTGAAGTTAGATAGTTGTGCTTACAATAGCAACATTACGGCAATGAGGCCATGACAGAAACAGGAGCATCATGTACAGTCAATTAAAAGTGCGCCAAAACTAATAAAAGTGATGCTGAATATTTTAGACATGCAGAGATTAAAAAAAATATATTGATATTCAAGCAAGATAAAATACATCAATAGAATCATGTATGAAGAAGGAAAAAAAACAGTACAGCCTATTGCACGTTTTATTAAAATAAATATTGCACATTTTGTTTGTATTATCGTTTGTATTGCACATTTTATAATACACATTGTTCTGCACTTGTGATTATTGTCACTTTAGGTTTCACCGTACATCCTCTGTCTTACATGCAATCAATACAAATAAAGTAATCTTTCAATAAATACACAAATAAAAGAACGACATTGCATTCCATATAAAAGTACCTTCCTGTGCGCGCGTCGACCACCAGGTGGCGCTAGTAGTTCGCTGATGGCAGGAAGCGCGGCTGTGATAAACACGAAAAGAAGAGGGCGTGCAGCGAGAGGACAGCGCCCTCAATGAACCTTACTTTGAAGTCAAAATCGGTTAATGTTTCCCTTACAAACGTCTGGTGTCAAGCTGTTGGTTTCGATACCGGAATTCACCCCCCCTAAATAAAAAGGCCGTATCCCCGCTTTAATTAGCAGTTAACGTTACGTAACTAAAAAAAACGTTATTGTTGGTTATAAAATAAACTAAAATAATCCTTTATTAGTCACGCAGTGGGTAAATGCACAGGATTACAGCAGCATAGTGGATAGTGCAAACAAGAGACATAGTAAAAACAACTAAGTATTATAAATAAGTCAATAAGTAATAATAAAACAGTAAAGAATCCACAATAACTAGAATAGGATATATGCAGACAGAATAATGGGATGCAAATTATATACTTCATAGAAACTTCTGCAGAAGAATGATTTCTCGTGTAACAAATAGCAGCGCTCTGAGGAGGAGAAGGAGAGAGTAAACAAGCGCAGGGAGGGAGGGAGATGGAGATATTATCTCCGGGGACGAGTTTAGGGATCGCGCAAAAAATGTAACCCTCCTTCTGCCAGACTGTACGGCACGAGAGACTGGCAGAACCTCCCACAAGCTCAAATGTCAAGGTCCTGAAATCCAGACCGTCCCCCTTCAACTCATCTCAACACGGAGGCTCTAAACTTTCAAGGAGGCGATGACAAGGGTCAGGCGCGTCATCTGCCATGAGTGTGTGCGTGTGTGTGCGCGTGTGTGTGTGTGCAGGCTGCAGAGGTGGAGCTTCATGATCCCGCTGTCTGCAGCGTGTGTGAGCAGGAACAGGCTTCTCTGGCCTTGAGAAGTTTTATCTGGAGGAAGAAGACACAACTGCAGCTCCAAACACTGAAGGGCAGACTAAGGGCAGACTAAACACACACACACACACACACACACACACACACACACACACACACACACTAGATCTGCGCAGTAAGTGAAGGGTTCAAACTCTTACTAGTCTAACTGACAACTTATACAACAACATATTCTAGTTATTCCTGTGAATCGGTCGGATTCACAGGAATAACTATAAATATTGTGTTCTGTTACAGGAGTGTGTGGACCTTGGGGGAGGTTCTCTCAGAGCCCTTCCATGCCTCGCACTGGATTTGGGAGGAACTACTTGGTGGAGATGTGCCGGGTCACAGCAACCTGGGGTTGCCTTAGCAACCACTAGGGAACGGGGAGTTGCCTTGGCAACAGATGAAATGAGGGGTTACCCTGACAAAAACAGCAACAGGAACTCATTTAGAAAGACCTCGCTGTCCTTTTTCAGACAGATAGCTGCAGACATGATGGGCACCGCATTAACACAGTGAGGACAATGTTGTGCTGGAGTCAAACCCCCCCCCAATAAACACTCATCCATATGCTGATGCCGGCATCCTCGTCACCACTCAGCTACAGCTGTGTTTATGTTCATGCCGCGAAGTAACAGAAACAGAAGTCTAGCCTTTGTTTTGAGTGGGAAAAACAAAGACTCACAAGGTTAAGTACAAAACAGCCATTTATTGTTATCACTGTATTAAAGTTAAACACACAACACCATTCAGAGCAAATGAGAGGCCTTGTTTTTCTTCTTCTTCTCCCGTCTGTGGTCACTTGAACACTGTAAACATTAAAACAACAATGTGTTTTATTTAACTTCAATTAAATATTATCCAATTTTTTTATACTGGCACAAAACATACACGACAGACAGCCATGGAAGCACGCATGCATTGCAAAAAAAAAAAAAAAAAAAAAAAAAAAAGAAAGAAAAATAAATAAAAAAAAAAAAAAAAAAAAAAAAAAAGTGAAAGTACAATATCTAAGGCAAAAAACAAACAAACAGTAGCAACATGGGCAAAATGATTTAGAAATTTTATCAAGTTCCTTTTTGCATTGTTGCAGTTACGTGGTTAGTATCGAAGTCGTACAATTACATATAAACATCCAAAGCACTGATCAAAACCAAACAACATGAGGACATTAACACGTTCTGCATCCATTTTCAGTTGACGGTTTATGAAAAAGGTACTAAGACAATTTGTTAAAGTGGGGGGGACTGTGGACATTGTCCTGAAGCACAGATCCGTGATTTCAGCCACACTGGGGATGAACAGGGCTGATCCTAGATCAGTGTGTTGGACCAGGTCCCTTTGAAGCCGACCGAGGCTGAAGGTGAAGTGGGATCTACTCGTCGGGCTTCCTCTTGGGCTTCTTCGGGTTGCGGGAGCGGCTCTTGGCCTTGCACAGCGGGCAGATGGGAGCATTACGGTGGATCTGCTGGTGGCAGGACAGGCAAGCCTGGAGAGAGAGAGAGAGAGAGAGGGGGGGGGGGGGGGAGTTTAGAGCCATCGCTTCTCGTCATGTCTCTCCTGCCGCGCTGTAGAGATGAGCATCTTTGCCAGGTGATGTTTGGGCGTGTCTGTCTTCGCTTGTTCTTTTCTTTATTTAACTTAAGGGTGGTGTCTGTTTTTTCTATCCATGGCACAACAAGGAGCTGATTACATCTGGGACATACCCACAGGGCTGTTTCATAACAGAGAAAGAAACTACAAAGTGCAGCCTAATTAACTGTGATTTATTGACTGAGCAGCTGCTTTGTTTTCAGCTCAGACCACTCAACAGCCATTCACACTTGAAGGAGATGCCTTTTTCTTTTGCGGTTGTAGCTGCTGGTCAGTCAGTGGGAGGACATACCTTCATGGGTGGGGGTTGCTGTCTGAACGTAGCCGTCTGACGCGCATCTTGCTTCCTGGAAACCTGGAGCTGCTGCGCTGCTGCTGCAGCGGCAGCGAGGGATTCTGGAATGGCGGGTTCATGCGGCTCCTTCTGCCACTCGGCTTTCTGCTTCTCAAAGTAGCTGTTTCGAAGCAGAAGAAGAAGAAGAAGAAGAAGAAGAAGAAGAAGATAAACCTGGCTAGCTGCGATGCTTACTTTAGAGCTTGTGAATCATATCACAGTTGAGATTATCCCATGTACTCTGTGTATAAAGACATGAGGGAGTGGCAAAACCAGATATAAAAGGAGGCTCAAATTGAAGAAACAGTATCTCACACGTCCTCTTTGTGCGAACGACTCGGAGCAAAAGTACTTTGTGAGGGTGCTTGTCTGCTTGCATGCGAGCGTGTCCGTGAGTGCGGAGGGCTGGGAAAGAAATGTGGCCTTGGACTTTGTGTGCCTCACTGGCCCATTTTCAAAAAAAAAAAAAAAAAAAAAAAGAAAGTGATATCCCATTTCTTTAGGCTCTCTGGTTTCTCTGAAAATAGGTCTGCGATAGAGAAGAGCGTTAACAGAACACATGTAATGGGTTGTAGTTCTTGTCAGCATGATCCACCAAAGCCCCAACAAACAGAAAATAAATTAACAGTGATAACACTTGAATCACCCCCCAAGGCCTGTGCCGTGTTATCACTGTTAATTCACTTTCTGTGTTAGCCTCTCTCTCTCTCTCTCTCTCTCTCTCTCTCTCTCTCTCTCTCTCTCCTAAGAAAAAGCACCGAAGGGCACCGCAAAGTCGGAACTTTCTAAGTATCTCGTAAATCGAGGAGCACACCGCCAAAGAAGGAGAAGAGAGACGCCTACCACCTGGCCACACAAACTCATCCTCCGAGCGCTCACAGCCGAACACGGCCAAACTGAAGACGCCGGGCCGGACAAACAATGCTGTCGAGCGTGCGGAGCAGTCCAAGCAAACCTTCTCACAACGTGGGTGTTTCATTTGTAAAAGACAATTTCACTTTACAGTACAACGAAATATCCCCGCTGACCAAAAGCAGAAATAACAACACATGTTGAAACTCCCAGTAGTACCAGTGAGTAAGGGACCTAATCAACCTCGTCATTACAGGCAAACCGGGTCTATGTTTCCTTCTGGTGATGGACGTCCGACTGCTCTTTGTGCAGCTGGGAGTCTGTCCGTCCCCATAACAGGGACATCCTGAAGCTTGAATGGATTCATTGCTCAGCAGTTGAACACACAGAATCTTGAGGTGATCGAGGTGGACGTGACTTTCTGAATAGGCTGACAGAGGTAAAGAGAGCCTTGAGTGAATCAGATGTCCTCCACACGTCACTGACTGTGAGCTGCAGAGACTCCGACATGGCGTGAGTTAAAGCAGAGTGTTTGGGTCTTTTCATCTGATCAAACTCAGTTAAATCAGCTTATTGTCATAATCTCATTCCTCTGTATTTGTGTGCAGGCATAGTCCGCGTATAGCCGGAAATATTTCTATAATTTCACTAGAAACTGTTGTATTCATGTTGCAATAAAGTTCTTAATAAAATGAGAAAATACTCACACTCAATACTAATATCTTTAAGTATATAATTCACACGGGAGTATACAAAAATAGGCTTTACCATATGGTTATTTTTTGTACAGACAATGTATTTATTGAATTACTAAAAAACATGCCATTTTGTGATATATATGTCGTTCTAAAGATATGAAATGAGCGATATTGAAGTGGAAGATGTTGGCGATATCAGCCGGCCCGAACCCAACTACGATGCCTTTACTCAAAGCACCTGAGATCAAATGAATGTCTGACTACGTTGAGATAATCAAAGCTGTCAATCGTTTAGACTGGGGCTACGAAAGCCAGCTCACCATTCCATAATAAATGAAGAAGAGAAATATTAAAATCGGTGAATATTAGAACCCCAAAAATCACATCTGGGTTCCTCCAGACCAGTGATGACCAGCTCCTCGCGGGGAGCTCCGTCTGTACTGACACTCACAACAGAGCGCTACTAGCGCTAGTAGTAGCACTAGTAGTGCTTATATCCCGCCACAGTTCCACAACCAACCGAAAATATGTGTATTTCGATCTCAGTGTTCTACGCAGACTAGATGACATGATGACAGAACATTCATCACAACAATAAGAGACTTGACCCGGACTCGTTACTAAACTTGAACTTGCAAATAGATGCATCTCTGTCCCTCAGCACCCAACAGAACTGTCTGTGAAACACCATTTATAATCCTGTTTGGGATTACGTGTGTTCTGTTGCACAATGCTGGACTTGTTACTTGCTACTGTGGTCAAAGTGCATTTTTATCTGAAGGCAGAAAGCGGATGATTTCTCTGCTGTTTACCTAATTCAGGCTGGAAAAAAAGGGACAAATTTGGCTCATGCACTGAACTACAAGTCATGGTAATACTAACGATGACGTGTAAATGTTATTGAGATTATACTCTGGATTAAGTTCATTTTTGAGTAACTGTTAACATAAAGTAATCTGTAAAAATCAAGTTTTGAAGAATTCACAAAACACTAGCAATGTACCGTTCACACTCACATGATCAACGGTCAATTATTATATTTTTGGGGGTGATGAACCAATCCTACTGTAATACTGATGCCTCTATGGGACCATGGGGTACTACAAGGCTCCATTCTGGGACCATTGTTCTTTGTGTAACACAATATACTCGAATGTGATAAAGACAGTATTTAAAATGTAGTTTGTGAATTATGTGATTTGACTGTTCATATGTGGAAAAAGCACAATGGAAATTAAGTTTAAAAAAAACAACCTGTTCCTACTATGCCTGCGTGTTTCATACACATGTTGAAAGCACACGTCTGAAGGGGCAAATAATCAGCTGTAAATCCACTATGTTAACAGGGAAATGCTATGAGACCTAACACATAGTTGTAAATGCGCTGTAAACACTATAATTCAAAATAATTCCACTGTACCTTGCATGCATTTTAGTGTACGTGTGTGTTTGTTTGTGTGTGAATACTGACTCCAGGGAGAGCTTCTCCTCTTCTTCGTTCAGGTTGGGGAGTCTGTGGAGGCCTAAAGTCATCCTGAGGGCATCAACGTGCTCCTTCAGAGGTTTGTACTCATCGTGCAGGCGCCGAGTAGTTTCTAGCAGCTTATTCAGGTCATTCTCCGACTGCTTGATGGTGCTCTCCATCTGAGGAGGACATGAGTGGGTATTTCAAAGAGACACAAGTAATACGCTCTGTATAAGCTATTCGTGGTCGTACCTGGTCATTACACGTTTCATACTGAAAATAACACGGGGACAGAAAGTGCATTCACTATATCTTTACCATGCGTTGTCGATCTAGCATTGCTATTTGCAGGGCTGTTGCTAACTTGTACTCGTCTGAGAGCTGAACTGAGAACGCGTGCATCTCTGAATGTAGGACTCGCTCACCACATTGATGTCTGCGTGGATGAGCCGCAGCTCCTCCACATGTGCCATTTTCTCCTGCAGAAGCAGCTCCATCTCTTGCTTGTACTCCTTCAGGTGCTTCTCCTCAGACTCCAGAGCATCAAACTCGGTCTTGAGACGAGACTTGATCTTCTGCATCTGGACCGTCTTGTTCCTGCAGACAGTGGCACAGACAACAGAGACCAGCTGTTAGGCCCTTTCCCTCACAGACACAAACAAAAACAGCAAGATCTAAAACACCTGACATTATTTATTTTCCCCCATCTGCCATGCAGTGCTTTGAATTTGTATACAATTATGAATCACTTCACAGACGTTATTTATGCATTGATATTAAGCAGAATTCCCTCAGCCATAAAATAATGAATTAAGCGCGTGGATTAATGTTACTTGTTATGCACATCTGCTACGCAGTTACTAAGAAGACATCGGGGCAGACAAACACCATTCTGTGTTTATAGAGATAATCACAGACCGATAAGCCTGCTAGCTTAGCCACAGAAATAATTAGCACGACACATCTGGCATTTTGTTGATACACATCTGGAATGTTGACACATGTATGGGCCAAATATGCACTTTAGCTCCAGCTTCTTTGTGTCCATGTTTCGTATTCAGCCTGTGGTGATTGTTTCCCCAACACCCGGTCGGAGACGAGCTACAGCTAGAACAGCAAAAGCCCATTAAAGACAGGGGTTCGCAGCAGACTGGCTAATAGTAGCTAGCTCAGTAACAAAAGCCAAGTCAAGGGGGCTCACCGTTGGCCCCGGCTAACGTTAGCCAAGATAACGTTTATCAATGCGAGTCAAACCTCTGACACCGGCTGGTTTTATTCCACAGTCTCACCGTATTTCCAGGATGTTTTCCAACTTGCACATTATTTCTTGTTCGTCCGACATGGTTCCGCAGTCAATTGTCTGTGTTCAAGCTCAGTTTACCCGTAAGGCCACGGTGGTCTCCTTGTTGATAAAAACACAATGGACGGTGTGAGCGCGCAGACGAGCACGAGCACGCGCCCGCAAACGTGAAACAAGTGGCTACGTGTGACGAGTGGGGCACCGCACGAGCTCTCTGCCTAAAGTGAAGTACTAAGTAACTTATCCTTCCCTCATTCAACCGTCTAATACACGGAAGCGACTCCACGCGAGCGTGAACTGTAACATTGAATTGACAAGTTACATTTACAGCAGATTTCTGAATAGTTGGACGGGCAGGACAACAATTCAATAAAATGATACATTTTAAATACATTTATATGGTAGAACTATTTAAAAGTACAGCCCTGGTAGAGATCACATGCTGTTGTTGAGCAGTTAGCAACAGGCCTACAAACACACTAACCCTAAAAATCACTGTACGCCATAACTTGCACTTAAAACATTAACTCGACCGATTACTATATTAGGAGACTGCGCTTTGAAGCCTTCACTGCCACTGGAACACCAGGTCCTACTGAGTTAAGCCCTACTCCTAATTTGTGTACCTCTGTAAATGGGTTTGGGAGACGAAGATCGGTGTCCTGGTTGTACGTAAATGATACTCAGTCAAAACCCCAATCAATTTAAGAGGAAAAGTCTCCAAAGTAGATGAAGGCTGCCTCTCTAAAAACATGTGGGCCCTAGGCTGCCATTGGATTAACTCAGAGAGAAGCAGCCTACTTGGGAGCAATACAATGGTCCATTCTCATTCCGTAATAATCCTTGTAGGTATTGCAAGCATATGACTCCGCAGAGAAAAGGCTACTACAAGCACCTCTCTGAAGAAGGGTTTCGGCTACAGATTAAAAAAGTACAAATGTCAACGGTAAGTAGCTATGCCCTTCATTTTATATTAACTTCATTTTCACCAGTGCAGTAGTTGTATTGCAACCGTAGTGGTTTGACTGGAGTTTGTGAACCTGCTGCTGTGGTATTTAAAGGCTTCCAGGAGGCATGGTCGCGTAGCTCTTAACCTTAAGAGAGAATTCTTAGTGGAAACCGTGTGACGATATCATGCCCAGCTGCCGGATGTTTCTAATTGGTTGTGTTTGTTGTTCCTGGATTTATTGTGTTTTGTCACATTATCTAGATAAACCAAAGCTGAGAAATTCTCCTCCTGTTTTCATGAATATTCATTGAAGCCAATCAGTCTCCAGAGGACGATCAGCAAGGCTTGTACAACAGTTGTACATTATTGTTGTAACTATTATTGTTGACGTTATTAAGGGCACTAATGAAAGCCTGCCTTGTTTGACTAATCTCAGCACAGTTTATGAATAATGAAGCCATCCACTTCTCTATTCTGCTTCTTTTCCCCCCCTATTGTACAAGTCAGTCTCAACAACTGCAGATATGTGTATGTGGTTTGATACTAACGAGCAAGATTGACCCTATTTGGGTGTCATTATTTTTGACTCATGCATCATGGAATGAACCTCATGTTCTCAGTTAAGTCTAAAACATACTGTGGGCTTCATTTTGTGATTGTAGTCCCCACCAACCTCTTGCGATTGGATGCTCCTGGTTGAACAGAAGAATGTAAGGAACACTCTTTTTTGGTCATTTTTCTGTCAAACAACCAAGAAATGTAGCATTGTTTCTAAAGAACAAACTAAATGATCACAGAATTGGTAGTGGTGATGCTTGATGCTTCTCCAGCGACACAGATGACAGAGCAGCAGGGATCTTTGTCCTCCTGTGGCTTTAGTGTGACTGTTTTTCCTCCGGCAGATAAATGTCAGAGTTACAACCATGGACGCTGAGCTGGAGTTTGCCATCCTGCCCAGCACGACTGGCAAACAGCTTTTTGACCAGGTACACTGTGCATTACAATCAAACAGGTGCTTAGACAGGCAGGTGTGTCATTGTGCTACTTATTGGTATACGTTTAGATAGTGAAGACGATCGGGCTGAGGGAGACCTGGTTCTTCGGCCTCCAGTATCAGGACAGCAAAGGCTTCTCCACCTGGCTCAAGCTCAACAAGAGGGTGAGGAGAATGTCTGTGTTTGAACTTTACATCCCTCCCCCGACATTTGGATTCAAAATAAAGATGTAATCATGCTTATGGTTATGCTACCGTTAACCCATTGAGGCTAATTAGTACGCATTTCTTCATTCCGGCATCCCTCTGCTGTGGGATGCCGATCCCCCAGGTCACGGCTCAAGATGTGAAGAGAGACAACCCTTTGCTGATTAAGTTCAGGGCCAAGTTTTACCCCGAGGATGTCACGGATGAACTGATCCAGGAGGCAACGCAGCGCCTCTTCTTTCTGCAGGTTGGAGACGAGCACAAGCACATTGCTTTTATGAGGAAAATTTGCGACCCTGAAACATGGGATGGAAAAGATGGACTGTCCTAATCACTGTAATTAATTTTATGATTACAATTGTATTTGTATGGATAGAGAATGATCAAGACCCACTCATTTACTCTTGATGTATGCTAAAAGGAGCGCAAGATTCATAGTAAAAGAACAATAGGAATCAGTTGTAAGCGCATTAAGAATCTGGTAAAAGTGGATATCACAATGAAGGCTGTCTCATGCAAGTGCACCCAGCAGATGCATGAGACAAATAAGGAATCTCAATCAAAACAAAACACTAAACCTTTAACGACCTACAAGAATCATCTATGATGACTCATGTAGATCCCATTAACCCTCGGGGGTCTTCCATTAAGGGAGTATATGCCCACAAAAGAGGGTCCAGCTGCACTGAATTAACACCAGAACACATAGGGTCTCTCCCCCTGTAAGTCGCATCATCATTAACACCATTGTGTACCTCATCATAAACCAATAGGGATTTGTGTGTTGAAGCAGATCTTTCAGTCTTTTTCTGTGTTTCAGGTAAAAGAATGCATCCTAAATGATGACATCTACTGTCCACCCGAGACTGCGGTGCTCTTGGCCTCGTATGCGGTTCAGGTCAAACAAGGAGACTACAGGAAAGACTATCACGTATCGGGATACCTCGCAAGAGAGAAGCTGCTGCCACAGAGGCACTGAGTCCTATGGTTATGAGTGTTCAGCAAAGTTCAACTCAATTCTAGTTTCAGCCATCTGAATTCTAACCGCTGTGTCCTCTTTACTGATAAAACCAGGGTTTTGGAGCAGCACAAGCTGAATATAAATCAGTGGGAGGAAAGAATCCAGGTGTGGCATCAAGAGCACAAGGGACTGCTGAGGTACTGCAGTCTTACTTCATCAAAAGCCAATTCATGCATTGTTTTTTTTTTGTAAGCAGGTGTTCTGTAGCTCATTAAATTACTCCACACCACAGAGAAGATGCCATGGTGGAGTACCTCAAGATAGCCCAGGATCTGGAGATGTACGGGGTCAACTACTTCAACATCAAGAACAAGAAAGGATCAGAGCTGTGGTTGGGAGTGGACGCACTGGGGCTGAACATCTACGACAAGAAGGACAAGTAGGCTGCAGTTTCAAAATGCCTCTGACAAGTTGTGAATCAATATATGCTACTTCATTCATGGTCCCCAGAGGACAACTACTACCCATTTGTTGATCCCCTGACCTTCCATCTAGCATCACAATGAGGCTGACTTTTCCTCTCTTTTTTTGAAGTATCGCAACGAATTATTGAATGGATTTTGACAAAATGCAATACAGATATGCATGGTCCCCAGAGGATGAACCCTAATGACTTTGGTGATCCCTTAAAGATCCCCTACAGACTGAAAAGCACATCTATGTTTTGCATGCTAACATACCAGACTAAGATTGTGAACATGCATAGATTCAGCTAATGTGCATCATCACTGTGAGCATGTTAGCATGTTGAAGTTAGCATTCAGCTCAGAGCACCACTGTGCCAAAAGTACAGCCTCCAAGAACTGACCTTTTTTTTTCCTCAGAGTGTCATAATTATGTTTTGACTGTATGTAAAAAAAAAAAAAAAACACAATAGGCTCTGTTAACTAATGTGGTACAACATGCCAATATTTTACAGGATGACCCCAAAGATTGGTTTCCCCTGGAGTGAGATCAGAAACATTTCCTTCAATGACAAGAAGTTTCTCATCAAACCAATCGACAAGAAAGCTCCGGTATGCAAAAAAAACAACAACAATATCATTGATGGTGATTCATCTGCAGCAGCTACAAATTCTTTGAGGCATGTCATTACGTGAAATGTAGCACAGGCCACACCGACGGGAGGTTTAGTTAGCGGGAAACTTGCTATTTTTTCTGCATACCTAGAGTCAGACTTTGTGCAGGTATGTTGATCTGTGAGCTTATCTTAGCCAAACTCAATTCATGGGTATTTGTGGATGGGATTAAATAGCTGCTCCTTTCGCCAGTGCTTAGGGTTTAATACCACATGGTACTCATTATTTTAGCATTAGCAATTTTTATGAAATAGTTTTCCCAACTATCCTACGAGAAATTCTTCAGAGATATGCCTATTCATATTTATTTAGCTGTGACTATAAACAGGAGATGCGAGAGAATGTCATATCCTTGTTACTGGGGAAATTACCAATTTTGCAAACGCATAAATTACAAGTAGTTTAATGACAGCTGCTGCTGCTTGATCTCACTCACAAACATGAATTTAGCCTCGCACTTCAATTTTCCTGCATGCGCAGACTTCAGGAAAGCCAATTGTTTAGAAAAATGAACTTAGTTCTCCCAAACAAAAGCAAACCCCTTCAGGACATAAACCTATTCTTAACTGTAAAACAGCTCTGATGATGTGTCATAAATCACTGAATACTGATTTTTGTGTTAAAAAGGACTTTGTTTTCTACGTACCCCGTCTTCGCATCAACAAACGAATCCTGGCATTGTGTATGGGGAACCACGACCTGTACATGCGCAGACGTAAGCCTGACACCATCGAGGTGCAGCAGATGAAGGCCCAGGCCAGGGAGGAGAAGAACAAGAGGCAGATGGAGAGGTGAGGAAGGAGGACATAAAGAAGGCCTATTTAAAAAAAAAATAAAAACTTCTACAGTTTACAATGTGTTCTCTCTGCTTTAAGAAAGAATTGTCGGGGGAATCGAGTTTTTTTTTCAGATGTGTATTTATGCACAATTCTCCTGTCAGGGCTCTGCTCGAGAGTGAGAAGAAAAAGCGAGAAAATGCTGAAAAGGAAACAGAGAAGATTGCTCGTGAGACCATGGAGCTGATGGAGAGATTGAGACAGATTGAAGAGCAGACAAAGAGAGCTCAAGATGGTCTGACAACTTTCTGAATACAAATGTTTCTCAAACTTGAGTTTTATATTTTTTCCTGTTTAAGAACATCAAAAGAAGCTTGCAGTGCATTGAAATATTTGTGATTTTAGGATCTCTATGAAGTATATACTATGTGGGCCTATCTGGGTATATGTGTAGGATGATTGTTTTTTTTTGATTTTTTTGTGCACCGGTGTATTTGTGTTTCAGAGCTGGAGGAGCAGACTCACAGGGCTCTTGAGTTAGAGAAGGAGAGGACAATTGCTCAGGAGGAGGCTGAGCGGCTGGACAAAGACCGCAGAGCTGCAGTGGAAGCTAAAGCAGCGCTGCTGCACCAGTCTGAAAGCCAGATCAAGAGCCAGGAAAGTCTGGTAAAAGAAACAAAAAAACACACACCTGCATACTGGGTTTAATTCAACTCCACTTGAATCGATTAAATTATAAAGTGGATTCCTTCCTTTAAAAGAGAAAAAAAAAAAAACAGCTGTAAAGGGATTATTCCAATTAACTTTATTTCCATGATCAAGAACTCATTATGGTATATTTACATATATTGATCGAGTCCACCTTTAAGCTAGAAACTAAGGTTCACAAATTCAGCTTGATGGTATACTTCAAATCATTCCCATTTCTAGCTGACTGAAAAGCAAGGCCATTTACCGCATAACACCTAAGTGCAGGCACAGACACGCACACACATGTTCTCTCTAACACAGACCGACACACACAGGCGGAGCACAATGACCTCAGATCAGGAGCACTCTTAACTCTCTTCCCATTTGTGTGCGTGTGTATAGGCCACTGAGCTGGCAGAGCTTACCTCTAAGATCTCCCAGCTGGAAGACGCCAAGAAGAAAAAGGACGAGGAGGCGAATAGATGGCAGGAAAGGGTGAGAATTAATGAAAGAGCCACGAGAGAGCGAGAGATAAAGGATGAATCAAACATGAGCAAAAAGGGATGTCTGACACGTCTTAGCTTTAGGCCCAGGCAAAGCAGACGCAAGGCGTCGATCCACAAAGTAGTTTATCAGTAGACTTTCAAATTAGGATTGTATGAACTTTATGGGTGTCACTTCATTGTCACAGGTAGCAAGCCTCAGCCCTGTGATGCCATTGTTGGTTAAAACAAACCATTAAATGTACATACAAATTTCACGAAAAGATTTTCCAAAAGTATATGCAAATCTTCGTATACTAATAAGAAGTGCTATATTGAACTAGCAGTCGCCACATTATTTCCACCTTATTTTTGAATGACCAACGGAGACTGATGCACGCAATGCTGAGAAACCTTAAGTCACAGAGGACCACATATTTGGGAAATCAGTCTCAATGTAATACCGATTCTTCCATATGATCTATATAAGCAAATAGGACCACCATTGAGAAGACTATTTCCATAAAGTAATTCTTACCGATCGCTAAACTACAAAACCTCCTCTGGCAAAGGCATGGCCCGCTCTACTCTAAGTCAATCAAAAGGCAGAGTAGGGCGGGTCCACCATAGTAGGTCTGATTCTCCGCAACATCAGAACCAACAATTCAAGGCTCCCTGTGTTTACATTTCCAAAGGCAAAGTTTGACAGGGAGTTGTACGTCAGCTAATTAAAAGGGATTACGTTGTAATTTGTAGGTTTGGAGGATACTGGGGCAGTATCAGCAAGAAAAAAGGATTGACCGAAGAACAAAAAAAAAAAAAAAAAAAAAAATCTAAAAAAGAGGCGGTGTTAGAGTACGCGCAAAAAAAGGGATTCAACTTGGAGGAAAGCTAGTAGGCTCCTTGCACTTGAATATCCATCCACAGCAACAGCAATTTGTGTGCGTTGACAGGCGACGGTGGTAGAAGCTGATTTGGAGCGAACCAAAGAGGAGCTGAAGACTAAACTCATGGGTGTCAACATCCAGGACTCGGTCCAGCCTCATATGCACGAGCACGACGAGACGGATGAGAGCAGTGCCGAGGCGAGCGCCGAGCTGACACCTCCGGGCATGGTCCGAGATCGCAGTGAGGAGGAAAGAGTAACGGAGGCCCAGAAGAACCAGCGGCTGCAGAAAAACCTCAAGGTAAAGTTAAGTGAACGCTATCAAAGTCCCTACTTTTTCTGTTCTGTCGTTCACCGTCGGGTCAGAGGTCATGGTTTAGATGGAGATTAGCAGTCCCTGGGCTGTCCTGGAGCTTTTCAGAGTGTGTAGACATTTCGTAGAAATTTTGCATTCATGGTCCCCAGAGGATGAGCCCCACTGGCTTTGGTGAGCACCTGGCTTTTTTGTATATATTTTTTTTTTCCTCTAGTGCCACCAGGTGGTTGACATATTTGATTTTGAGTAAAATATATCTTGACAAATATTAGATAGATGCTTTAATCCTCATCTGGCCACATCAGCTCGAAATTCAAATTCTTTGGTATACAAATAAATCCAGAGACATACATACAAAAAGAATGGAATTCCCCTGTCCTCGGGCGCACATTGTGTTTAGTCCTATTTTCCAAATGTCAGCATGCTAACCGGCTAAATTAACTTGATAAATATTAACTGCTAAACATCAGTATGACTGCGTTGACATTGTGAGCATGTCAGTGTATGCTGACATAAGCATTTAGCTCAAAGCACGGCTGTGCCTTAGTACAGCTTCAGAGCCGCTAGCTGAAGACTCTCGGCCTTGTTTACGGAGAAAGTCTAGATCACGGACTTCAACTCTTCAGAACAGTTTTTTTATAGTAATTTTTAAAGTAACTTTCACGTAGAACTTGTGTGGAGTGACGTGTGCTTTAAGCTTAATATTACTGTGTGGTGGATGCCACTTCCTTTTCTCAGGTCTCGGAAATCACATTTTTGTTGCTGCTGTAAGATTTTGAAAGTGTTTTGGTACTCTGTGCTGCCTGTACACACAGTCATTTAGAGGTTTTGACTCTCCTCTAAATATGGCAGCTTAATTGCCACCACAGAATGTGTATCACCCAGAACTAAGTGCACTCTGCATAATAAAACATTGTCATTCTATTGGTTTTATTCAATTCGCAAATCTCATACAGACCCAGGGCTGTAACAAATGAAATAACATTGGTCTCTATCTCACAGCCCAAACAAGATATGGTACTGCGTAGAGGACTCAACACAAAACTGGACTTAATAACGATGCACAATAGCGTGTTTTCAGATGGGGATTCAGTGGAGTACAGGGGTCCCGGGAGAGGGGCAGGGCTTCTGAATGGTCTCCTAAAGATTTTAAGGGAAAGGGGATCTTATTCACTGTGTGTTTGTGTTCTCTTTCAGTTCCTGAGCATTGAGCTGGCTGGAGCTGTAGACGAGAGCAAAAAGACCCCCAATGACCTGATCCACGCCGAGAATGTGAAGGCGGGCCGAGACAAATACAAGACCCTGCGTCAGATTCGTCAGGGCAACACCAAACAACGCATTGATGAATTTGAGTCCATGTGAGAGGGGCTGCTGTAAAGGCCCACTCAGACTGAAGGATATAGATGATGAAATATTACACATCGAGACATTTTAGAAGCACGTAGGTGCAGATTATTGCATAGGTAGAAAATTAACCTGACATAACGGGCTGAATATGACAGCAAATTATACTGTTGCCGCCTTTAATGTCCATGATTTTAATGTCATTTCATCAGGAAACAAAGTCACAACTTTTAAAAAAATACATTACAATTACATAGAAACAAAAAAAAAAAGCATTCACGGTCCACTTGAACCATCATCTATGCTGTCATTTATGAAAAGGTTTGCCGTTGTCCTTCGTATTACAATTCCAATCATGCCAACTGATGAAAATGTTAGACGTTGATTAATGAGAGAGATGACATTTGAGATACTTCCATCGAAATGTTTTTTCTCATTGCATCAATAAAAAAATACACTGAAACACGTGTGCTTGTTTGTCCATGTGAAGGAGGACGAGTCCCCTTAACTGGGCCCGATAAGGCAAACCGTTCAAAAGCTGCCATCAGATAGAATTAATTATCAATCTCAACGTCCATCCAATACAAATACACAGGAAATGAAAACTGATGTAGCTGGCATAACCCCCACCCACAGCTCCCATCACTGCCTGTTACTACATAACAGAAGGCAATATGCCTAAATGAATAGAAAATGGATTTCTCTCAAAAGTCAGTTATTGTGTGGGACAATATGTATTTTATCCACAACAATTACTACCATGTTTTGTGGATTCAGCCACTGGATACGAACAAGCCTCTATAGCCAAACAAAAGTATTGTTTAAATCCCAAATGAACTGGAATAGTCATATTCTGAACAGATGTTCAGTGACGGTGTTGCCGAGAGCCGTGGCCTGTCACGTTCCAGCTGGTTGCTCTCGCGAGACTTATCAACACGCCAGAGTACAAAATCAAGTTACAGAGTTCAAATCGTTACTCGCAAGTTCTTCGTTGGCGCTGCAGGCGATGAAACGGGTTACTTTGTGTGTAAAGAAAAAAAACAAAAAAGAGAGAGAAAGAAAGCAAAAGTTAGCCAGTCCTTCATTCGCGGAGCAGAGTCGGACGGGACGTCCCTACGTCGTCGACAGCTCGGAATTTCATATCCGCAGAAGCATATGACGGGAGTCTCTCAGAGTGTTGTTGTATTTGTTCACCGCGCGACCAGCGCACTGCTTTGAAACGGTCGCGAGCCGGGGATGGCTTTTCGCCTTTTGAGCTTGTCCGACTTGGAGGAGAGCTCTTTGATAATGAATCACTGGGATCGGCTGAACACCGCGGACACCTGTGCGTGCGCGACCACGGCAGAGCTCAGCAAAGCCGTGTCAGTGTCATTGGGTTTGGATTCGGTGTATTCTCCGCTCAACAACATGCACCCGTGCTCCGGCGGCGCCTTTGCAGACTTCGACCCGGTCGCGGAGAACAGTTCCCGGAGGAGGGCGCCGGAGTTAGGACCCCGAATTATGGACCCGGAGGGCAGCCGGCTCCTGCTGAGCGGCGCCGACCCGAGGGACGACGAGGACTTTGGAGAAGTGTGCCACGGCGTTACGCAGGTGAGCTGCATGGATCTGCTCCGGTCGGGCGACGCGGGCAGCGCGCAAAGCGAGGCGCGCGTCTCGGCGATATCCAGATATGTCTGCAAGGAATCCAACTTGTTCATGAGCCCGACGGAGCTGCCCGGACCCTCTCAAGTGGACAGACCATACTCCGTGTACTCCGCCGGTCCAAACCTATACAGGGACACGCCGGGTGTGTGGCGCGCGTACAGCAGCCGATCCGAGCTGGAGAGAGGCGGATCCGGCGGACATGATGTCTTGTGTAAATACTGTAATTGCGAGCAAGCCTCTCTCGGATCCAGACAGGAATGTCACTGTATCTGGTTCAACAAGGGTGAGCAGGGTGGCAGAGGTGGCGTGCGAGCGGCGATGACCCAAGGGTACGGCCAAGTGGAAAGTTACGAGAGTGCGATTCCCCAAGAGCAGCTCACTTCGTCCGCCATCAAGACCGAACCTTCAGTTTGGATGGATTGCTCGGATCGCAGTTTCAGGTAAAAAATGACATAAAATAAAGGAAAAGCAGATTTTAATGATTTGCTCTAACTTGGTTTACATTGGCATCAAGTCAGGAGGGCAGCCCTGATAAAAGCTACATTCTTTCCGTCCACTTAATATAGTCTCATATTTCTTTAATTAGTAATACAAATGCAGAGTCTGGACTTGTTGGATTTGGTCCACTTTTTATTTTTTTATTTCTTTAAAGTGTTTATTAAATCCATTATATTACTTTAACGCTGCCCTGTCCTTCTGTTCTTCTTCTAATATCTTGATATTACCCTAAAGGGATTATTGCACTTCTTACAAGGCAAATAAAAAAGAAATGCAGTAAACATTTGTTTTGGACCATTTTCGACGTCGAAACCTAGTCCAGCTGCGCCTCGGCATTCAATTGCATTCAACAGCCCTATGTCCTTGGCCAAGTTTGTGTTTCAGCATCAAAGTTAACCCTATCCCTAACTTCCCACTAATACCATGTAATATATCACTATAAACAAGAGATACAGCACCTGCTCTGTGCTTCGGATGGAGGACAATGTCCTGTTTCCACTTCTTTGATTCCTTCCTTAAAATCTGGAACGGCCAACTTCATTTGTTGTTGTATCGTCAGTCCTGGAACAGAGAAATCTCCGACTGTAATTGGAATTAGATTTAGGGAAATAGAACCCCAAATGGCATAATACCCTCTGAGGACATAGTGACTTCAAAGCTTTTTACTGTGCCCGTCTCCCTTATTGTTGCCGTCTGAGATGAAAATCTATAACTGTGTAGTAGCTGTGCCTGCTTTGGAAGCCCTTAAAAATAGCCCAATTCATTTAAATGTCTGTGTATGTGTGTGTGTGCATCCAGGCATGACAATCTGTTTCCAGGTGTGTACCTGTCGGACAGGAGAGTGTGCCAGGTGTGCGGCGATGATGCCTCCGGCTGTCACTATGGAGCCGTCACCTGTGGGAGCTGCAAAGTATTCTTCAAGAGGGCCGCCGCAGGTGGGTGCGACACACACAAACGCACACAAAATGAGTCAACTGCTGATTTAATTTCTTACACCCACTCACAGCAGGGCACAGTGACCTGACATTATGAGGTTGACTTGCTTGTTATCAGTAAACACCCACATATCTTTGCCTTGAGCGGACGGAAGCCGAGACAATGTTGAGCTTGCTGCCCTAAACCCCCCCCCACCCCCCCCCCGCAGTCCACCCCACCCACTCTGGGCTTTTTCCTGTACCACCAGGTAAGCAAAACCACCTGTGTGCCAGCCGGAATGACTGCACCATCGACAAGCTGAGGAGGAAAAACTGCGCCTCGTGCCGCTTGAAGAGATGCTTCATGTCGGGAATGAGCCTTAAAGGTGAGGGACTAACGAGAAGATCAGAGCGAGAGACCGGGAGAGGAAAGTATGCGTGGTGTGTATTTGGAAAAATGGGGTCAGGGCAGTTAGAAAACGTACACGCATTGGATCAGAACATACTAATCAAATGTTCTAGCTTAACTGCAGTGGAACAAATCCATTTCTCCAAAGGTTTCTTGGCCAGTGGCCTCGTGGTTATGATAAGGAACAGCTCCAGTGGCTGACAGTCATTTAAGTATTAGCCCTGTTTATACGATTTCGTTCCAGTTCTTTTCCAGATATTTTTTCCCAGCTATCTGTTGTGTAATAAATCAGACAAAACAACTAGGAAATGGAAGCTTTTTATCTCCTTTTATTTTTTCCCTCATGTGTTCTGCCCGTCTGTATCGTCTGTTGTGGGTTCTAGGTCGCAGGCTGAAGGGAACTGGGCAGGCGAGGAGCGGAGATGAGGAGCTAGGGCCCGGTGAAAGGGCCGGCAGGAGAGACCTAATGTTGGAGCCAGGATGTGCAGCTGTCAGGGCTCAAAGTGAGGATCGGTGTGCCATACAGGGTTCGTACGGTCATGAAAAACCTGGAAAAGTCATGGAATTTTAAAATGGTTATTTCCAGGTCTGGAAAAGTGCTTGAAAAAAATAAAATCCTAAAAGTTTTGGAGAAGTCATGGAAATGTGTTATATTCATATTTTCATGTCGTTCATTTAAGCTGAGTTGCCAGCCAGCGTTTCTCAGATTGGAGTGAGACGAGGAGAAAAGGTGATGTCGTGATCTTCGCACTAGAACATCTTTGACGTGACATGTCGAGTCTTGGCCAATCAGCGTTCAGAGGCCTACACCGTCTTTCCCTCTGTTACAGTTTAAGTTCCGTTATAGTTCAGACTTGCTGGGTTAAGTTGACGTCCACTGCATGCGGAACTTTGTCGACTGTTAACGTTCATCATTATCGTGATTTAGGAGGAAAAAACGTAACGTGATGAAACATGCAGCCCCCCCGTGTTCCAGGTTCAGTTCACGCGGTCGCTCATTAACGTTAAACCGGAACACCGGCGCATCTGGTTGCAAGTTTTTTTGTTGTTTTTTTAACTCAAAGTAGAATGAGGCGATTTCGTGGTCAAGAATAACTTTCATGACCATGAAACATGAGGTCCAGATACTGATGAGATGATGAGGTCAAAGAGCTTCATGAAGAGGAGGCTGGTTATGTAGCGCAGCTTGACGCAGGGCTGAGATGTGAAGGAGCTGGGCCTGGATAAAGGTGGAGGTCTAAACAGACGTGAGTACAGCTTCCCACTGTCACAGTATTTTAAATACATTGATAAGGCAGGGTATGCTAAATGTAGCCTCTGCTCCAAGGAGATAAAGTACAGCAACAAGGGCTCACATGCCCTCTCATCACACTGTTCACTTTGATGACCATAGCCAGTATACTAACAGTCCCATGTTGCTCTAAAGAACCCTGAAGTAATGAGAGTTGTGTTAAGGTGCCTGTACCTTCATTTCAGCGGGTTGCTAATGCAGAGGTATGTTTGATCACAGCTATTATTTTACTCTTGATAAACTACCATAGCCAGAGTAGATTATCATTTTCATTTAAATAATTGAACTAGATTGAATGCATATTAATTGCAAATAGAAGATAGGCCACAAAAGAAAAACAGCTGTACAGTAACAGTGGAAGTTAATATGAAGCCGTACAGTAACAGTGGAAGTTAATATGAAGCCATACAGTAACAGTGGAAGTTAATATGAAGCTGTACAGTAACAGTGGAAGTTAATATGAAGTCATACAGTAACAGTGGAAGTTAATATGAAGCCATACAGTAACAGGGTTCAATGAAAACGAATCACTTTATTTGTACAGGCGATGGTTCTCGCTACTCTTGCTCTCTTGGTTTTTATTTGACCAAAACTTTTGAAAATGAGACCTCGGTCTCAATGGATTTTGTCTAAATAAAGGTTAATATTAATAATAGAGCTGAAATACTGATTCATAACTGAATAATAAATTAGTTTTTTGCTGAAAGTAAATATCGTCTTATCACTTAATTGTCTTCTCAGAGTACACCAGAATGCTACATTTTAAAGCTCATATTTAAAATGAAATCTCTAAAGTCTCTCATTCGTTTGTGTCATTTATGGTATACTGTATGCTTTGGAATTCTCATTGTTAGTTTAAATACGACATTTTCTCACTTTTTCACAAAATGTTTGGTCATGGAAATTTGGTTTAAAGTTATTGAAAAGTCATGGAAAAGTCATGGAAATCCATTGGTCAGAATGTGTATGAACCCTGGCCATAAGCTCCAGTGTCACGCCAACTCAGTGCCGAACATATTCCATAAAACATGTCGCAATATTTTGTTTTTAAACTATTTGTGTGTGTGTGTGTGTGTGTGTGTGTGTGTGTGTGTGTGTGTGCGTGTGTGTGTGTGTGTGTGTGTGTGTGTGTGTCTGGAGCAGCATCCCAGGCCCTGGCTCTAGGCATCCCCCCGACCCCGCGCTCATGCTTCTCCCTGCTCAGCGTCCTGCAGGCCATCGAGCCGGCCGTGGTCAACGCGGGACACGACCACGCGCAGCCAGACAGCCCCGTGTCTTTGCTCACCAGCCTCAATGAGCTGGGGGAGAGACAGCTGGTAACCGTGGTGCGTTGGGCCAAGGCGATACCAGGTAAACTCAAGTCCGGGCCAAGGTGCGTGGCTGCATGCGGGCGATTTCCGCCGAGGCTGCGGGTGATGAATTGTTTTGGTTTCGGCGTAATACCAGACAAACCACATGCTTTGTGTGAGGCCAAGCAAAAAAAAACAAGACACTACAAGGTCAGCCGTGTCCTGTTGAGCTAGAGATGGGATAGTCGCTCAGTCGCTTAATGGCAGCTGTGGCTCAGATCGATCGTCCTTTAATCGTAAGGTTTGGCGGTTTGATCCCCGGCTCCTCCTGTCCGCACATCCAAGCGCTGAACCCCATGTTGCTCCCCTGGTGCTTCACATCAGCCCACTGTTCCTAAATTCTTCGCAATGGTTAAACACAGTGGTCAGGCTTCATGTATGTAAACAAGGGAAATTAAGTACACAGTAATTACACAGACGAGGTCAACAGGCACCGGGAAAAAGTCTAGTGTCTGATGTAACATCTGTTGTCATTGTGCAAGGGCCTCGACCTCTTGCTCTAGAGATAACGGGCAGCGCCAGGAGTTTTATGCCAGTCGAACTTCCTCAGTTTGAGAGGCCAATCCCTGTTCGTATATTAGCCACTAGAGGGGGATATGTTCACGTTCAAGCCAAGAGTGGCAGGCTGGAAAAAGACAGCAATGTACCCACACTGTGGTATTCCTTTTATTAGCCTGAAGTCTTCACATCTGTTATACCCACTTGTGTTATTTAAACGTGTTTTTAACAGGTTTCCGTGACATGCACGTAGACGACCAGATGTCAGTGATTCAGTTGTCATGGATGGGGGTGATGGTGTTCGCTTTGGGCTGGAGGTCCTACACTCTCACCAACAGCTCCCTGCTCTACTTCGCTCCAGACCTGGTTTTCAATGAGTGAGTAACAGAAAGCACTCACTTTACACTCCACACCAAGAGTTCTAATATTGGGTTTGAATTAAAAAAAGGGGGAAGAAGTCAAACAAAGAAGGTTTGTTCGGGTCTGAACAGCCAAGACAATCATAGTGACATTTGGTTTGTTGGAATATCATGAGATTCCACCTGTCACCGCGACTGGAAGTAAAGGCACAGTGGAATACGAGCTTCAGAGGAAGATTTCTGGGTTTTTCTTTTTCTTTATATCACACGATCACGGTAAACAACTTTGTTCTGCTTTCACCATGTCTTTTGTACGTGCTGCTGTACTTGGCCGCAGAGGGATCTCACCTCAGATGAGTTATTCCATTTCATCTTCACAAAACCATCATCGGTCGCCAAGAACCGCAGCGGCATCGAGTCATTTCTTTTTTTGTTTTCTTCAACTTTGACAAGTTTCGATTCGCACCTCAACCTCCTTCAGCCTCTTTGAAAAGAAACCCCGTTTCTGACACCTCGGCTCCTGTCTTTTGTCTTTTATTTGTACTTAAACCTTAACGCAGAGTTCGTGAAGCAAATCCACTGCCTCTTATCAGTAAATTGTTTTCGGTGTTGAAGCCGGGTGCCGCTCTGAATGCTAAAGCCAGCCACTGGCCTTCAGAGCCGCTTTCACTCGGCTGGAGTTTCGCGCGAGATTAGCAAAAGCACTCATTCCGTCTGCATCAGACCTCTGTCACTCTATCGGGCTGCCTCTGACCTGCATGGTAATGGTTACGCCTGCCCTCGTAGCTGACCCTCATTTTTCTCTGCCTCTCTGTCGTTCTCTTTTTCCATTACCCGGCTCACTCATTTCTTCTCACCTCTGCTGCTTTTTTTCCCCCTCTTTTTCACATCTGCCTCCATTAATTGTCTTCGTCCTTTCTCTATCTCTCTCTGCCTGCCGCTTTCCTTGAAACTCCTCCACCACCCGGTGCTCCTACTTCTCCTCTCAGTGTTTTTTTGTTTCCCCCTCCTCCTCACAGCCAACGGATGGAAGTGTCCAGTATGTATGAACACTGTGTGAGGATGAAGCTGCTCTCCCAAAGGTTCTGCATGCTGAAGGTCACTCAGGAGGAGTTCCTCTGCATGAAGGCGCTGGTCCTCTTCAGCATCAGTGAGTCCTCCCCGTGGTGGGAGATAAGCATCTGAAGTAATAAGTTGAATGTCAACTCTGCAAGTGAAATATGACCATAATAGAGTTCAGCCGAGCTTCAGAGAATTGATGGGATGGATAAAGTCTGGGAGAGTTATTGTCGTGTGCCGGCCTTTTGTGCTCACAGTGCCAGTGGAGGGCCTGAAGAACCAGCGCCATTTTGATGAGCTGCGGACCTCCTACATCAACGAGCTGGACCGCTTGGCCAGCCACTGTGGAGAGACCACCCGCACACAGCGACTGTTTCAGCTCACGCAGCTGCTGGACTCCCTCCAGTCGGTAATGGACACAATTCGCCTTCATATATATGAAAAAAAAAAAAACACACACACACTGACTTTGTGAACGATTACATAAATGTGTCGCAGAACTACCGCTCGAACAGAAAATAGTGCAAAGTGCACCAAATGTGAATTTAAAACAATACCGTGCTAACTTGTGAACTAACTAGGCCGCATGGAGATTTGTTTGTCATGTCATGGCTGGCTGACTCTGAATCGAGGCGATCAGTTATTGCATTTCAAATCAAGCCGTCTCTTTCAGTGCAGTTACAGACCTACACAGACTGTGATATCATACCGACGACGGTAATGCCTTCTGAACCCGGGGTGCATCTCCAGCTTGTGCATAAATCCCCAGAAATCCACCAGGGTTAAACACATACCAAAGGGTCATGTGACTGCTTTGGCTTCTCTCCACTGGTTGCACATCAGGAGGGGAAAATGATGAGTCACCCTCTAGTGGTAGCATTGCCACATTAATAATAACCATAAGGAATTGACACACATAATCTGGGACCTTAAATGTAGTCCCAGTCAACATCATTTAGTACAGGCGGAGTGCTCTCACACACCAACCTGCGTGCTGTACTGACAGGAAACACAGCCGCAGCAAAGCAGGTCATATCTGCAGACGCAAATGTGCTGACGTGCACCATGAACCGACCAAGAGAGAAAATGCTACTTTAAAACTGCTACAAACTGTTCAAGAGTGCCAGCATGTGATCTCTGAACCGGTTACGTTGGAGAGGGAAGGATGGAATTTAAATTTGTCCAAATAAAAATCCAGAGCAAACTAAATCGATGAAAGAAAAGGAGAAAGATTAACCAAGTGTTGTCTTTGAGAACGAGAGAGTTAATAGTTTACTCGTCTGTTATTCAGCTGCTGGAGACAATTAACACTTTACAAACTCGTGTGTCTGGAGTGCTTTAAAAAGCCTAAAGTCACAAAGACTGACATTTTGTACATAGATATACATGTTCACACCTCTATCTCTATATATATATATAGATATAGATATATATAGATATAGATATAGATATATATATATATAGATATAGATATATATAGATATATATAGATATAGATAGATAGAGATATATATATAGATATATATAACTATTCCTAAACATTACATTTTTCTAAACTGCATTAAAACTAAAAGCTCCCAGTCTATTTTATGGTGACTATAAGCCTTCATATGTGTTAACGAATGGTTTTTAATCACCCATGTACAGTATCATTTATTTTTTTGCACATTATTAATTAATTTATTTTATTTAAAAAGGGACCATGTACAGTTTAAAACATAAATGTCACCATTTGATGCACCGTACCAGATTATAGCTTTAAGTTAATTTGCTTGTCCCTGGGCAGGTCGAAACAAGGAAAGCACAACAACAAACAGTACGGGGGAAAGACACAATACAAAGCTACACACAATAGCACATCATAAATGTAGGTTTGTCAGATAAAAGCAAGTCATGAAGACCGTAAGAATCAAGGTCAGTGAGTACAGAGCGGAGCAGCTTTTAACAGACTCTATAAGCCGGTTTTGAAAGTGCTGATAGAGCAGCAGCTCCTCACATCGTCAGGCAGGGTGTTCCACTGATTTGTGGCTTTTACAGAGAAAGCTGAGTGCACCAAATGCAGTGCGGCATCACCCTGCTTCATGCACAGATGTAGCCAAAGACAAAGTCAGTACAACCTGAAAGAAAGCATCATTTCAGACACATTTGTTATTCCCAAAACTGTGCTTCCGTGGATTTGAACTACTTTTTAGAAACGTTGTTAATGGAGATATGAACAAAGACTCTTGGTAGGGATGCGACCACTAGAGGGTGGAGATCCACTGCTTTTGCTCCTTAGTGCTACTAGAAGCTTTAATACGAATTGGGTAAGAATTATGCAAGTTTAAAAAAAACCTCCTCTGTGACATCGGTGGTTGGGGCCTGACCAGAGGAGCTGGAAAGTTTCCTCCCAAAGAGAGCCGAGCTGCAGCCGTTTCAGCAGCACGTCTTTCACTGTGGAGTTTGACTCTTAAAGGCTCAGCTTGGTCAGTGTCCCACTCACATCTGCTAACGCCGCACGAGCTTGAGGGCAGCCGGGGATTGTCTAGCGGGGCCCTTTAGGCAGAAAAGCGGAGTTGATCGAGACTGTACCTCTCTGCTTTGCCCTGCCTGCGGGGCTTAGAGCGTCGCAATGAGTGTCATCTTTTTAAATCGCCTCCCAAAGCTCGTGTCAAAAGACGGGCTTCAATGTCCTTTGCCGTTTCCTCTTAAATCCGCAGGCTTTGTCCCCCCCCCCCCCCCCCGCCCCCAACGCCGCACAAATGTCTGCGTTAAATCTTTGTCGCTAATAACCTCCATCTTTCTCCTTTCTGCTGTTCTCAGATCGTGAGGAAGTTGCACCAGTTCACCTACGACCTGTTCCTCCGAGCTCAGACCCTCCAGACGCGCGTCAACTTCCCGGAGATGATCTCCGAGATTGTCAGCGTCCATGTGCCCAAGATCCTGTCGGGCATGGTCAAGCCCATCCTTTTCCACAACACCGCCTAAAAAGGAGAGCCTCTGTGTTTGTCCTAATGTGTCGCTCGAGCGCCGGCATCTTTGGTGAGCTAGAGAGGTGTTTGAGATTTTCGGGGGGGGGGGAGTGAAACGGATGAAAAGGGCATAAAGCACATTCTTCCAATCTAATTGCATCCACTTTGTTCTTCTAACTGCCTGCTATCTGTATCACACACACACACACACACACACACACACACACAGCACGTTTTTCTGGAGCCGATTTTAAAAAAACACAGCATGCATTCCTACACACAGGCTCATGAACCGCCTGGCATGTAGTCGTCTTCATATTTAACTCACAACGGGCTAGACTTTATTTCAGGAGGCGGAGCCGGTAGTGAGAGAGTTCGCATAGTTCACATCGCCGTAGCTTGTGTGAGTGTGCGCAGTGGTATGACATTTGCACTAGCTTCTTAACAATGAATGTTATTGTGTGTGTGCACCTGAGATGAGCGCAGTTGATTGACAGCTAATAAACGGTTGCGGCGTGCATGCTAAGACACCAAGCTGTCTCGCCTGAACAAGAAGACATCACTCTCATTCTAATCGATAGGAATAATAGCCGACTAATCGTTTTAGGGGTCCACAAAAACAAAACACGCTTTTAAACTGCAAGTGACTGCATCAATGCCAATTCCAAAATGTATATTATTTATGAATGAATCAAAGAGGTCACTCTGAAGAAAATGATTGTCCGAAATACTTGAGTATGACTCATTAGTCCACTAACTATTGGCAAATTCTTTTTGCTTGTTTTTGAATGCTAAATATTAGTCAAGTGCAATTTGTTTTCCAGAAGGAACATTTCATACTGTTGTGACTTTTCTACAGTTTCTTAAAAAGTGTCCTTCGCAAGTGCTTTGTTGTGTAGTGTGTCATCACGCACTCATTGTAGCTTCTGGCATTTTTCTCAAAAAAAAAAAAAAAAAAAAAAAAAAAAAAAAAAAGGTCCAGCCAAGAATCAGCTCACTGTGTGACAGCTCATCATGTAATAAAAAAAAAGTGAAGCATGCGTGTGTATCTTGTTTGTTTGAAACAATAATGGAGGGGGCAGAGTTGACGGGGAATGCACGCGGTCGTATTGCAGCATGCTTAGGGTGGTACAAATGTTTCTCCGCCTGCCAAGATTTATTTCAGTCGGCTACGCAGCCGAGTGGACAGACGGGCCCTTTTTAGAAAAGTCTTTTCCACCCTCAGGATTATCCCAGTTGTCCACCCAGCCAGGTAATAGATCACAGCGGGAATCCGGAGAGCACAGTCAAACGAGGAGGCCCCGGCTGATTTATTTCCTCCCATGGATCCTGCAGGAATCGGCCAATGTCTGCAGCCCTGACACCAGAAACACGCCGCCTGTGTTTTACTGCCATCTAGTGGCCGCTGTCGGATCTGCATCAGCAGTAGAGATGCACAACATCTCTTGGATCCATTGACATTTTGCATCGTAATGTTATTGAACACGGATCCACGCGATGTTGGAACGGGGTTACCGTTAAATGGTCAGAGTCACGAGAGGGGAGGTCGTAGCATGGAAGGGGACAAGTCAATAAAGGGTGCGTTGTAATCAGAGGCATAGTTAGGGACTATATAGTGAAACTCTTAATAGATCAACATTTTTTAAATCTTATTTATAGAAAGATATCACATCTGTACAGTAGGGCTTAAGAGGAAACGGCTCTTTTTGAGAGCCGGTTTATTTTTACATGGTGCGTTTAAAAGCCCCAACTGTAAAAAGCCAGCCTGGCTGTCTGTGTAACCTCTGCCGCCATTTTAACTCCCATTTCCTGAACAACCTCTTTCAACAAGTATTTGTCCCCTCTCATAAATGAATTGGAGCCGAACGACATAGGGTTTTGAAGGACACGCTGAAATATCACTTATTTCTAAATATATTCCCCCGCTATACACATGCCCCTGTGGTTTCCCCTTAAAAGGGAACGGTTGTCTCGTTTGGTTTGCAATGATCAAAAATGTATGCGTTGATGTCGACATTTGAACTTAGCTTGGATTCCATTTGATATCTGTGTTTTCTCCGAGTCTGCTCTGCATCAATATTACATGCCTATTCTAGCAAAAGAGGGATTTTTTTTTCCCCTCTCGGGTAATGGTGACCGCAGAAAGCACAAACACACGGACCACAAACAACAAAAGTTGAAACTATTTCCTCATGTGGAGATTAAGGAAAGACTTAACAGGAGAGGGTTTCAACGTGACTCTGGACATGCGAGAGCGAAACGCAGAAAAGAAAACAAAAACTCGACGCCGAAGTTACCCAACACTCGCAAATATTCCCGCTCCCGTGGAATTGTGGTTGTCATGCGGCTCAATACTTCTTGCAGGACCCGAGATAAAACCCCGGCGATGATGTCTTTAACGCCAGGTTACCGCAATTCGCGGCTACAGTGACCGTAAAACAATTAAGAGCGCAAAGAGGTGGTAAGATGACACCCCTGAATGGGCCGTTTCTGTGGCCCTTCTAATGGAGGGCCATTCCTACCCAAGCACCAGTCCATTAACAACCAATTAACTTCCTATTAATATTTTACCAGACAGGGCCTCTCTTCCTGACGTGTTTTTAAGGAGCTTTTCCCAGGAGTGTTTGAACATGAGCAGCTTTTAGCAGCAGCATAAAGAGGCCTGTGTAATGGGCTGAAGGAGGAGGAGAGGCAACCCGATAGCACTGAGAGGCTGAGGAGGGGAGAGAGAGAGAGAGAGAGAGGAGAGAGGAGACAGACTCCTGCAGCTGGCATGCCCCGAGCCGGGACCCAAACACAGACACACAAAACAGGGCTAGGGGTCCATGATTTTATGGCCACCACACGAGATCAGACACGAGTAACGGCCTTGTGCCATTAGTGCAATTGCGGGGTATATTTGAAAGATGACAGTACAGAAATGGGGGAGACAGAGAGAGGGGTACGACATGCAACAAAAAAGGTCCAAAGACCGTAATCGAACCCGGGATGTTGCTGTTATATGGGCTGCCACGTGTAACCTTTCGGCTACCGAAGCGCTCCGGGGCCGATCGTGTTTTGATAGCCGAATTTGTTCCTGATTAGTTTTCTCTTGTTTGTTTAAAATTGCAGCCGAGTAGCAGTTTTGCCTGCAGGTTCACCGCAAAATAAAGTCTTAAAACGGCAACATCCACCTGGCTCCTGCTCTGCCCCGAGCTGTAGCGTTGTGCTGCGGTAGGGCTGGTTTGGCTGGACATTTAGAACTAGATTAGGGAAACTCCCTGCCTTGAGACAAAAAGAAAAAGAGAGAGACCATTATGACTACAGCCTGAGGCTACTCCCAACGGACAAGGCATTTGTCTTCACTTGAAAGTATGATTTATTTTTCCACCAGTCAGAAGGGTTATGTTTGTCACCGCACACTGAACTTTTTGAAATAGCAGCAGAGGCAGAAATGGAAAACAAAAAAAAACAGAAAGAGAAAAGCTCCACTGCTTTCCTAACGCTCTCTGGAAGACTTCCAAAGACTTTGCTTCTATGGTTACCTTGTTTGAGATCACTTTCGGTCTTCATTAACTTTAGTTAATAATACTGAACCTTGTGTCTAACTTATCAGCAGGAGGAGCATTTGTGTGTGTTGATGATTAAGAGAAAGAGGGGAATGTGGGGAGGGGGGATGTGGTTGTATCAGGTTCCCTCCACTGGGTGTAGATGTGGTCTTAGATTTCTCTCTGGGCTGCTGATTAACTGTGTGTGTGTGTGTGTGTGTGTGTGTGTGTGTGTGTGTGTGTGTGTGCTGGGAGAGCACTGAGGAGGAGAGGAACTTCAGCTTTAATTTCCCCCAGCTCCAGATATTACACCCCCGCGCTCTCTGTTTTTATTGGAACAGAGAGCAGAAAACACCAAGTGTTTATGAAGCATTAAAACGAGGTGGGGAACTCGAGGGTGGGACTGTAAATCTATACATTTGGCTCTGTCTCTCCCCGAGCAGGATTAATCCTTTTACGGCGGATTTCGGGTGTTTTACCAAAGAGCGACGATTTCTTGCGAGAAATCATGTTTATCATCTCGGCGTGGACGACAGAAGGCTGGAGAAAATACTCCGTTGAGGGGGGGGAGGGAGTGAGAAATGGAGGCAGGACTTTGGAGAGAAGGGGGCACATGCGTGGTGGGGAGAGGAGTCATTTTGGGGTTGAAGGCACAGGAGGAAGGAATTATTGTGCATTACCCTAATGGCCGTTGGAACAAACGGATGGGCGAGGAGACCGCATTACATTCTATTAACTCGGCTTTTGTTTTCCATGAACTGTTAATGACGTACGAAGGCGAGCGCTGCGCTGCTCTCCAGGACAATACATGCTCTGTGCTTCTAATTGTTCTCAGGGAAGTGCCGACGGTCTTCGTACCTGGAGACACATTAGCTGGCTCTAATTAGAGTAAATATTCTTCTGGTGCAACACCGGCGCTGCCTCGCCTCGCCGATCCGACAGCGCCGTGTTTTTTTTCTTGCGGGGATGTTCGTGCATCTCCTGGCCCTTCTCTGTAACTCATTCTCCTTCCGTTATTCCCATCTCGATCGTTGCCTTTGCCTCTTCCTCGCACTCAATTCACTTTCCTCTCCTCTTTTTTTCTTGGGTTTTGTTGCGGCAGCAGTAGAACACCACTAGCTGGGACACAATCACGGTGTCTGCCCATGCTCCAGCCATCTCCCGAGTTCATTATATCTGTAAACAGTATCCGTGCCCTCCGCCCCTCGCCGGTCCCCCTCGTCCCAGCCAAACTCAATGTGACAGCGCCGCCACAGCCCTCATTTACAGCCATCACAGGACAGATTTCCCCCTTCCCCGGCTCCCGTCTTCAGCCTGATAGATGGCACCCCTGGTTTTTTTGTGTTGTTTTTTTTCCCCGCTATATGTGTGCTCGTGACCGTGTTCGCAGCCCTCCATTAATTTTAAGCCTGCATGCGTCTGCGTGTCGGAGCAGGCGAAAGTTGGAACAGAAACATTTTGCTCTGTCAGTACCGATCCTGAAAACAATGTGTTATGATTATTACTGGCTTTGTGTCCTCTCACACACACACACCATGTTTTCTTTATATTCGGTGTACTCTGCATACATCCCCTCCGACACTCTGCTCGTACTTCCAGAGCGCTGCTCAGTTTTAAGTGCGTCATTTTGAGTAAGGCCTTCCATTTCTGCGGCCGCGCTTATTGGAGCACCCTTGGGGGCAGGAACATCTTCAGCTCGGGAAACATTGCAGCACACACACGCACACACACACACACACACACACACACACACACACACACACACACACACTTTATGATATCTTGTCTCTTCTCTCCACTTCTCTCCTCTAAATATTGTACTTCTAGTTGTAGCCTCAGGCATCAGTTCTGTCTCATACTGGGAAGGTCAAAACACACACACACACACACACACACACACACACACACACACACACACA